GCAGGTATGAGGAGGCCATTGAGGACTACAACAGGGCCATTGAGCTGAAGCCAGACGATGCCGTGGCATTCTGCAAGCGCGGAAGTTCTTTGCGAGCTGTCGGCCAACATGAGGCTGCCTTAGAGGATCTTGACAAGGCCATTGAGCTGGTTCCGGAGAATGTCCTTTTCTTACGAATCCGCGGTGATTGCAAGCAGGCCGTTGGCAGGCATGAGGCTGCGATCGAGGACTACAACTTGGCGATTGAGCTGAACCCAGAAGACGCGATGGCAGTTGCTAATCGCACATTTTCAGAGTGCGCTCTAAGGAAGCTTGCCAAGGGGACTTCAATAGATGCGGAACTTGTGTGGCTTGTGGAGAAGCTGAAGCAATTGCAGAAGGAAGTGAATCAGCCCATCGATTGCTTGCTCAAGCAGGTGATGGAACAGACATTGGATTTTGATGAGGTCCCGGGCGCAGTGAACTCTAACCCAAACATGCAGTTGCTGCCGCCCTCGCAGTTGGACCCGACATCTGACAGCGGCTCCTCCGTTTGTTCGTCAGGCTCATGGATTGATGTGGGTTCTCAAGGGTCTTGCTGCTTCCTCCCTGACACCTATTTCACCGTTTTGATGGAGGATGGGGAGGTTCTTGCACCTGCCCGACGGCTATTCCAGGGTGCCAGCGTCGTTGCAGCCAATGGACGGACGACCGAGGTGACTTTTCCGCCAGAGCAACATCAGGTCCATGCCGTGATCGAGCTGCAGGCAGGTGATGCCTTTCTGGTGGTCAGTCCAGACCATCGAATCCTGGTGCCTGGAAACGTGACGGTCCAGGCACAAGACTTGCATGTAGGGAGCGAAGCAACTGGACTTGATTCAACGATTCAACCTGATTCCACTGATTTTTGTGCTCAATTGTCGGTCAGCAGGGAAACCTTCTCCATCTCCAAAATATTGCAGGTCAACGAAGAACTAAAAGACTGTCAAACCAGAATGTCATTTTCTGTGGAGGGGCTGTAGCTGCTAGCTGCTAGCTAGGTGAATAGCATAGCCTGCCACATCCATGTAGCCTACCGTCCCAGTCAGCACAGACTTGTATAGCGATCGCACTGCACGCACCTCCAGGTGCGACGAAAGCCACAGTGTGGGCTAGCTTATGGTCCCCGTAGCCCGCATAGACCCTTTGCGCAGCTATGAGTTAAAGCAAAGCCAACGCACTAAGCATTGCTCAGGTGATTCTGGATGGCAACCTAGCCGCCCTCACATCCTTGAAGTGGAAGGTCGAGCCAACCATTGTGCTGAAGATAGGCTTCAAACCAGATCTTCCAGTGGCCGCATTTTTGCGTCCCCCAGCCATTTTGAGTAAAGGCTTTCGTCAGAAGCCTTTCCGTCGTGGTATTAGAAAGAAGGCTTCAACCTTCGCGCAAGGTGACGACGCACTCACCATCCTCACCATGCCAGATACTGAAGGGTATTTGACAGACTAATTCATTTAGATAGATTGCACAGCGGAGCAGCCGTGCTTTGGAATTGAGACTGCTGCGTTTGTTTCCGAAACTTGTGCGTGTGCCGGTCCTTATGATGTCTAGCGGAACGCCGCACGGTTTAGACGTGGCAGTTTCTAGGGCGTCAAGACCCATGATTTGTCTTAGCGCACGCCCCCTTGTTGTGCCTATGGCAGATCACAATCCTTGAACATCTTACAAGATTCTGGATGTCGCGAAGCGGTGCAGCAAGAATTCTTAACAAGGAACAGAGCGCCACACAGAACCTTAGGACGGCTAGGTGATGCTAGGTGGACCCTTTTCCAAACCATTCTCGAAGCTGCCCGCCGCGGGTCTACAGGCCTGAAATTTTTAAGTAGGGCCTGGCTGCGCGAAGATCCGCAGACATGGTTGCTAGTAGTAAATGGTTGGAACGCCTGTGCATTTTTCGTGAAATCACTCAGCCTGGTGCACAGCAGTCGGAGAGATTTGCATTTGGCTTCGATATTGCAGGAGGCCGTGCGGTGCTACAGTGAGGCCCTGGAGTTGTCTTCCGAGCTCGGGCCGAGCATTTGATGCCAAGGCTGCAAGTAGCTGTTGGGTTCGTGGTCGACTCTTTGTTGATTGCCTAAGCGGATTCTCGGCCTTGTGGATCAAGGTGCAGCCGCGCGTTGGCGTATTTGCAGATTGAGGCCTGTTGAAGACATTTTTCTACAAGTCTCCATCCACTGTTCACAAAAGCAACCAAGACATACCACTATTTTTAAACGGTTTCTCAAATAATGACATCGCATCGTTGGAGGCGTTGCAGGATGTTTCATTTTTGTTTGCCGTCAGCAAGTGTAAAAATGGAAAGCGAATGAAAACGCTATGCGACGCACAAGCTGAATCGTAGAACCACATGATGTTTTGGAAGGGTGGCAGTGCTGGCCGATGAGGTTGAGGTGATCGCATTCCAACTTCAAATCCTTACTTAAGCTGCTTGACATTGACAATTGTGAAAGCCATTGCGTCAGCAATGTCATTGATACCTCATAACACGTCAACGGCAGAGACTCCCCCAACTCCAACTTTGGAGTCTTGATGTGACTTCCACACCTTGCCGTGGTTGAGGCAAAGCTCTGTGGTGAAGGTGTGGGAGGCACTGGGCCATGAGCAATGGTGGGTGCTCTCAATGTTCTCCACATAAACGTGAAGTTTAACACACCGAAGTACAGATCAAGTGGTTCACCCAACCGATATGCGCCCCCCGAAAGCAACATTTTCTCTCGACGAGGAGCCGAGGAGCGCCCTTTCGTAAACCTAAAAGCAGCTGGGGCGGCTCATCTTCGTGGTCCCGGTTCGAGTTCAGCGAAGTTCGCGAAAATGATTACAACAAACTCCGAGTTCCAAAGATGGGTCAAGTGAGCACGAGTGTCGGAACAAAGAGTAGGACAGTAGGCAGTACTCAGTGGTACCGCCGATCCCTGAAGAATTTTGAGAGGGCGCCGTTGGATTGCTGTGTGTGCACAAGGTGCGCTTTGTTTTTGCGTGGGGCACCTGGATGCTCGCATCGCAAAACAATGCAAAACTGTCTCTCAAGTCTCATAAATGGATACCACAAGCTGAAGGTGAATCTCTTCCCAAATTCTGCAGCAAACTAGAAGGTGACAGACAACCCGACAAGCCTCATGTGATTGAGACTTGTTGAGAGCCTTGGGCGGAGGCTAGCTGAGATCAGTGGGCCCTTCATGAAGTCACTTGGCGGTATATAATTCACCGCGTGCTTTTTGACGGCGAAAACTTCCTCTCAACTCCCTCCAACTGTGAGCCATCACTGTGAGCAGCCTTTTGAGTTGGAGCGTCCATCAACTTTCGTCCGATTCCAAAACCAGCCCGCCACAGCCAATGCCAAGGCGCACGCCACTGGGGCTTTTGGGCCAAGACCTTTGAGGCTGGATGGCTTTCTTGCTGAGCTTTTTGTAAGTCAATTGCCTGAAGATCCCAGGTGAGTACCAACTTGTTTTGTGTGAGCTGTGGCTTGACGTTGGCATCTTGGTCACATGTCCTTCTTCATGAAGAGTTTTTGCGACACGTGCCTCAATGACTCATGACGTCTCATGTGATTCCAAATTGGGACCGGGAACTCCGGAGGCACCTGCGCTGGTACAACTCTTGGGCCTGCGGTGGTGCCACGTCGTTGTGTCACTGATGGAGCACAAGCTGGGGAACCAAAGAGTCTCGTGGGGAAGATGTGGATGGAGGCCGAGGAGAAGCACGATCTCGAGCAGCCAAAGAGGCGCATCCAGTGCGATGGAGAAAGAGACATTTGCACATCAGGGCTGCGGGGGTGGCGGCAGGTGAAGGATGAGTGGCCGAAACCTTGGTGAATGCATTGAGTCGAAGCCAGACAATGCAGAGTTGGAACAAAGCTAGCAGTCTGTTAGAAGTAAGAGGGTGCCTTCAACGATACACTGCATCCAGAACTCTATGCATAGCACGCCCATCCCGTCGAATAACTCAATGAGGCAAGAAGTCCATACCAGTCGTACACTCCTTGAAATAGGTGAGAGGATAGACACGATCCTGGTTTGATCCTGTAACCGTAACCGGCCTCTATGATGACACTACCGAAGCTTATTTTGGCTCCTGATGAAGAAAGCCGCGCAGCAACCTGACCAGGCCCATGCTTCATTTCACATTGGACACTTCTCAAGGTGCAGTTTTTGTTTTTTCTACCCACTCGCAATGCAACATGATGAACCGTCCGTCACCTTGCAAATTGCCAGGTCTGGCGACAGACTGGTCCCATTTGTACTGATCTGTTCCCCCTCACCTGTGACTTTTGGTGGTCCTAGTGCTAGCGCCGCATGGGCCATGCGGCCAAAGAGCGGGGCGACGAGGCCGTGCGGCGGAAGGAGTTTCAGGACACTGGGACACTTGTGTTCCGCTGAGTCGACAGAACTGAGGAGGGTTCGGTGTCGCCTCTTTTTCAGACACGCTAGCTGCTTGGGTCAAGCTAGCTAGGTGGGTCCGGTCAGGAGGCAGACTCATGTCACGTGAACTGCCGCATGCGGGGCCATTGGTTTAAGTGTTTCCAAGTTCAAAAGACAATGAAGGTCATTTCATTTGCATTTTCCAATCCACTTCACAAGGTGTGGCGTGTGATCTTGCACCTGCTGTGCGCCATGGGGACATCTTTGGCCTCACAACACCGTAAAGCTGGCAGGTATGAGGAGGCCATTGAGGAGTACAGCAAGGCCATTGAGCTGGACCCAAATGATGCCATCCATTTCCGCAGCCGTGGCAACTCCAAATACTTTCTTAGCAGATACGAGGAGGCCATTGAGGACTACAACAGGGCCATTGAGCTAGACCCAAATGATGCCATCCAATTCCGCAGCCGTGGCCTCTCCAAACACAATCTTGGCAGGTACGAGGAGGCCATTGAGGACTACAACAAGGCCATTGAGCTGAAGCCAAATGATGCCATCGCATTCAACAACCGGGGCAACTCCAAACACAGTCTTGGCAGGTACGAGGAGGCCATTGAG